CAAGGATATGCAAGGCTATCTGGCTTGTGGGTTTATTGCATTTGCAGGAAGCATTACTAAGCGTGTGTCCTTATATTCGATTTTTATTAATAGCCACATTGGTTCATTAACTAACCATTCTATGTAAGCACCTGTCCTACTTTCAAGCAGGTGGTAAGCAATCAGAGTTCCTTTTTCCATTCCAGTTTTCATCTTTCAGTTCTTACTACGGTGCTAGACACGAAACAAGCCGTACCGGATTGTCCGGCGATTCACGAATAAATACCTCTAGCTGGGTACCCCAAAAACACACGCCCCGCTTGTACCCAAGGCACGAGCAGGACCAACCCATCACTCTCCTGTCCCGGGTGTCCACGTCCCCGTCCAAACTGGGACTCCAAGCCCCCGCCTCTGAGTCTCGGACTTAGTGCGGTGCAAGGACCTCCTCCACCAAAATAAAACCCTGACAGTCGGTCCGGAAAGAGCCGGATCCGCGACAAGAGAGCAACAAGTCTTCCAAGCGCCCATACCCAAGTATGTGCTCGGGATAATAAGTCTGTGACTTGCCTCGATGGCTTATGCAACGACCGGTCCTTAATCGACGCAGACAGGGAAAACAGTGTAACCAAGCCATGCCCCGTGTCCACGGTGACACAACTTCTTACATCCACCAATACCCAAACCATATCCCTGCCCGATCACCATTTTTTTTTCTTTCCACCATTTATTTATTTTCCAAGTGATAATAATCCAATAATATATTTCCTATATATCGCGAGTGATAGGCAATCACTCGACTTCTACCGGAGTCCTATAGCATAACGATCTACATGATCCTGTCATACTAGTAAGACTCATAGGATAAAGATATATATATATATATATATATATATATATGAAGTGGGTTTCATTCAACTTCTTAAAACTTAATGCACAATTATAATTTAAACTGTAGAGAGTAGGGGTTATGCGCGGGGGCTTGCCTGGGTAAGATATATTTAAAAAGTTAGTATCTGCATCTTCAGATCATCCACCAGCAACTGGATAGAAAGCCCATTGCATCATCTCCTAGAGAGAATACCATTACACCATCTTTGGATTCCCAATCATCCTTCAATCGATCCGTTGATCCATCATCGTACCTATATGATATGCATGCGATGCAATACAAAGATGTAAATAATCGACGACAGCCAAAACGCTTTGAAATCCGATCACGCCTCACAAGCTAACGAGATAACTCTAACGCTGGTCTACGTATCCATGTCGCCGAATAAGACGTTATTTCCCAATAATTGTTTTAGTTATACAAACCAAATGTGTTTCTATATTTCATTTATTTGATTTACTATATTCAAAATAGGACATCATTATCTATTTAGCAAACTAATTATTCTGGAGCTACAAAAATTACAGTGAGTACCTAATATTGCTAGGAGACTACTGTACAAATTTCAGATTCAACAATATTACCAAATTATCATGGAAATTCCTACAAGTTTATATTTTACAATATTAAGTACCTTAAATTAATTATATAGCTTCCAAGAATATTATCGCACTATATGAACAAAATATACTAACATGTAGATCGTGATTTTAGGAACTCAACAAAACTGGTTTCATAATTTTTGGACAACTATACAAATTTATATTGATTGTACAAGTTCACTTTATAAACTAATTTAGAAATTGCTCCGTGAATCGAAAAGGGCCGGCGCAACTAAATTGACCCAGCCGCTCCCATGGCCACAGACGCACAGCACGTGCGCGGCCCAGCGGCCAGAGCAGCCTAGGCGGGGCGCGGCATGCGCGGCCCAGCCAGGCGAGCACGGGACCGGCCCAGACGGGGCGGGGCGCGCGCGGCCCAGGCGCTGGCAGTGGCGCGGACGGCCCAGGTGAGGGCGCGGCCAGCAGCCCAGGCGCGGCCAAGACAGGCCGGCCCAGCGCGTGGCAAAGATAGGCCGGCCCAGTCGGCCAGGGCAAGACAGCGGCTGAACTTTTGCGAGGAGGCCCCTGGATTTTCTCGAAACTACTCCGCAGGATATAAGTACTATTTACACGGGTCACGTATTACGCAATAAGAACCCTGTATAAAAATTCTGCTTGAATTTATACCCTTCCTTCCTTCTCAAAGCGGAGCATGAAACAGAGGACTCAATCCAACAGCCTAGGCGGCGGCGCGGGGAGGTGTGCCACGGCGACGAAGGGACGGCCGGCTCCAGTGTGGGTCTTGCGCGCTCGCGCTCACGCGGTGGCAGCCGAAGTGGCCACGGCGGGCGCGACGGTGGCGGGAGGGCCACCTGGTCCACAGCGGGGCACGGGCGCGCCGGAAAGGCAGCGGTCCAGAGCAGGCCGGGCCGGTGCCGGCAGCTCGCGTGCGCGGGCGTGGCGCGGGAGAGGAAGCAACGGAAACAAGCAGAGAAAGAGCGGGAAGACGAGCCGGAGTGGTGCGTGCTCGGGCGGTTGGTTGGCGAGGCGGCTCGGACGCTGTGGAGCTGCGGGGAAGGAAGAGGAAGGCGCTGGTGCTCGCGGTGGAGCGACGTGGGTCCCGGGCGAGACACGGCAGGACGGCGCGCGGTGGCGCTGGAGGCTCGGGCGGTAGAGAGGAGTTGCGCGCGGACTCGGCGCGCCTGCGCGTGCGGTGAGTAGCGGGGTGCGGGAGGAGCAGCGCCGCGAGGCTCGGTGCGCTTGCGCTCTGTGGCCGGGCGACGGTGAACTGGAGCTAGAGCGTCTCCTCACGGCTGCAGAAAAAGGAAGGGTGAGAGAGAGGGAAGCAACGCAAGTAGGAGACAGACAGAGACAGGCACGAGAAATCAGGAGACAGACAGAGACAGGAGCAGACAGGGTTGTAGCGGAGAAAAGAAAAGAAAGAGAACAGTCGGTCAAATGTACAGTGAGAGAGGACAGAGTGGCTTGACACATCAAGAGAGGCCAAGCGAAAGGTTTACAACAACGCGGTTCAATTAAGTTAGCAAATATATTAATAGCTGACCATGCACAGGGTAGAAGTACAAAAATATGGATTCCCAATGGAGAGCATTGCAGAGCCTCAGCGTTAACCATGACAAAATTGTTAGATAATTATTACACTAATGCGGGCCCCGAACTTGCTTAATTACACCCTGATAATATAAACATGTACAAAATTGTTATAATACTAGTCTGTACGCATTAGCAGGAATATAGTTTTTTCCCGTGTCTTACTAGTAAATTGTGGTTAAATGTCCGTGGGCGCACATTTGATACGAGGACGCCAACCAAAACGATATATTAACAGCGGAATATATCATTCTATTTATTAATTGATTTTATTTTATTTATAAAAGTTGTTTTTCAAGCTTAATCTAGCAGAATAAACCGTTCGCTAGAATCGTCATTCGACTTTCCTAATTATCTTTACGCACTGAGGAATTTAACTTGGACGTTGATTCGAGTCCACAAAACTGAGTCACAAAATTCGCTTATCGCCTCAAGTATGTTTTAAATTAAAAACCCGAGAAACTCGTTTCGAAAATTTTTCTTGGGCCTAAATCGCGGTGCTAAACAAGATCGTAACACCGGGGTGTTACAAAGACCACGCTTGACAAGGTCCTCTATGCCCGCATGGGTAACATCGGAGCGGTACCACGAAACCATAGAGGATGAAGGCGGCTGTGGAGAAGCAAACGCGGCGGCGGAGAAGCGGAAGCTATAGATCTAGGGTTCCGGTGGCGGATTAGCAAGCTCGGCAGATCCGAACGGTAGTGGCGGAGAAACGGAGAAGGTAAGACTGTATTTTTGATGTGCAGAAACATGAAGGAGGATGCCGCTATTTATAGGACGGAGCCGGGCGAGAAGGTGAACCGTCCGCCTAGGCTCACCAAGGCGCTGGTATATATGTGAGTAATTGTATGCATAGGCCAAGAAAATCCTTGAAGCTGATTTTGTTGATTTGTTCTGAGATTTTGGGCCAGTCGACGCATTGGTATTCCGGTAGCCGGTAGGCATGCTTCGGATGCCCGCGCTGCTTGGGCTAGTCCCGGCAGGCTGGCAGCTTGTGCGACAGAGCACACAAGGGAAGCCAAAGCCCAAAGGCCGAAGGTGTGCTGTGTGTAATGTGCTAGCTGCTGCGCGGGCGCCGACTTTTACTGGTCTTTTTACTCGGGGTCTTGTTTAGATGCCATTCAAATTTTAAGTTTTTTTCACTATCTTTCCATCACATCAATTTTTAGCCGCTTGTATGAAGTATTAAATATAGGTAAAAAAATAACTAATTATATAGTTTAGTTGGAAATCATGAGATGAATCTTTTGAGCCTAATTAGTCCACGATTGAACAATATTTACCAAATAAGACGAAAATGGTACTATTCATCGGGTTAAAAAAATTTGTAAAGTGAACGGGACCCTGGTTGTTACGGAACGTAACCACGCGCTTGGGGTTGGTTCATCTGCCATACGATGGGACATGGGAGACGAGACTTGTCAATTCTCATGCCTCTTTCGTTGGCTCATGGCTGACCAGGTCTCCACCGAACCACGGAACTTGCACGTCAAGCCGTACCCCGTCCGTCATCGCTGGCGATGATTGCCGATAACCCGTCGTCATGGAGCACTCGGGGTCACGATCCGACGGCCAGGATCAACTGGCCCGTTGCAACTTGACGGAACGCTAGGATCTGAAAGCACTGACCCCAGAGTATCTTGACGATCGCCAACGCACCTACTACAACTTGACAATGGAGGCCATGACAGTGCAAGGAAATATCGTAGACGACTTGTGGATATCTCCCTCATAGTCACCCAGGACTCCACTGGGGCAGCAGCCTTTGAACCCTTCAACTCCTTTGACGTTTGTATTGTACGTCCTCTTCACGTACGCACTAACACACCACACATACAATGGCTTCGGTTTATATAGCCATAGCAGCATACCTCCAAAACGCCAATCAAAGCTCTGCACGATCATCCACACACATCTATACATCGATCGTGCCACCAGCAGAGCACGACACGAGCACGGTGCTCCAATCGAGAGCCATGTCGAAGCCATCGTCGTCGTCGCTGCTCCTCCTCTTGCTGTCGGCGACGCTGGTCGCCACCATCTGCCGCGCCGATCCGGACCCGGTGCAGGACTTCTGCGTGGCCGCGGCGCCGGGCGGCCATTACAACTCGTCGTACTCCACCACCTACCCGGGCTTCCCGTGCAAGCCGTCGTCGTTGGTGGTGTCGGACGACTTCTTCTTCGCGGCGCACGCGAGCGGCGCGAGCACGGACAACTCGAATGGCGCGGCCGTGACGCCGGGCAACGTGGAGGCGTTCCGGGGCTCAACACGCTGGGCCTGTCCATCAACCGCGTGGATCTTGCCCCCGGCGGCGTGAACCCGCTGCACACCCACCCACGGTCCGCGGAGCTGGTGCACGTGGAGGCCGGCGAGATGCTGGTCGGCTTCGTCAGCACGGAGGGGAGGTTCTACTCCAAGGTGGTGCGGGCCGGGAGAGCTTCGTCATCCCGCGCGGGATGATGCACTTCCAGTACAATGTCGGCGCCGGCGCGCGCGCGCGCCATGACCGTGTTCAACAGCCAGCTGCCCGGCGTCGTGCTCGCCGCGCAGTCCCTGTTCGGCGCCGAGCCGGAGATCCCCGACGCCGTCCTGGCCAAGAGCTTCCAGGTGGACGCCGACACCATCAAGCTCCTCAAGTCCAAGTTCCGCAAAGGATGATAGCGCGCCGGGGTGGGGGGGATGGCTGTTACATGCATGGCCTGAGCTGTTCGCTAGCTACATTTGATAATACTTTGATTTGTTTGAGTACATAATGTTGTTTCGCATTATAATACTTTGATTTGATGATCAATAATAAAGCTCATAAACACTGCATGGTTGAGCCACCAAGACAAGGTAATAAACATATATAAATACTGTGAGGCGAAGTGACCATAGTCTCGATGAGACGATGACTACCTGTTGAATTGAACCTCCGGTCTTTTTTGCCGGAGTAGCCGCGGCGCTCGCCATCACCGCACCTACTTGCCTAGCCACGGTGGCGGCCGCGGCCACGACCGCCTCTTCCATTCCATCGCGTATGTCCTACGTGCACTTCAGCAGCCTTCCTCGCCTCTCTCCTCATCTCCGCTTGCTTCTCACACGGCGGGGGAGGGGTCCTAGTGTGCGCTGTGCGCTTTGAGCCGGCTGACGAGCTCCTCGACGCTCGACGTCGACGATTCCAAATCGCAGAGCGCCACCTCGATGGCGCCAACGATCTGTCTAGCTAAACTCGGGAGACGCGTCGCGCGCGGAGGATCATTCTGACGAGATAGCAGCTCTCGTCCACCTCGCCGCCGTGCGCGTGGATGCTAACGGCAAGTGCCATGACGCGCGCGCGACGACCAAATCGTCGTCGAGCCTCCGAGGCCTTCATTGTCCTCACCGCCTCGAGCCCTCATCGTAGGTGTTGTAGCCTTCGAACACCAGGTCGTTGCGCGAACAGATCAAGTAAACCAAACACCAAAGCGAATGCAAGGTGGAGTAAACACGGCTCATGTATTCATGGTGAGAAATTGTCTCCTCTCTTACCATCGCCGTCTCGGGGGCTATTTATACACGTCTATAGGCTTCTATGGACAATACTACCCCTGCAACTACTTCATATTCGAGGAATATTCTCGTTTGCCCGGGGCTTGTTTGCCTTTTCGGAGGTATCGCCTGCCTTGGGTGGCGCCGGCCCTCTGGTCCTCGCGCCGTGCCGCCTTTTTGCCCACCGAGCAGTTCCCAGCGGATCGTGGTTGTCGGCATCCTGTCCCCTGACGAGCTCTCCTCAGGGTGAAAACCTGCAAGGTCAGATACACAGACAAGCTGCAAGCATTCGACAAGGCGAAATGGCTCGGACAACTACCATCCCCGCAGGCTCGCACGCACCTCTTCGTCCAGGCGAAAGGAGCGGACCTCGCGCCTGGACCGCATGGACCCGAGATACGCGGCTGGTATCTCACCTTGGCGAAACAACGACAGCCCACTCGATTCAGGGCCGTCTTATCACCTTGGCGAAAGGGCAACGACCCCTGCGGGATATGGGGCTAGCCTTTCTGCCTTGGTGAGAAGGTAACCGGCCCCCGCTGAACACTAGGCCTCCTTTTCGCCTTGGCAAAAATGATAAACGATACGTGAGACACACTCCGGGCTTCTCTTTCATCTCCGCGCGTTTCGATCCATTTTACCACGGCGAAACGGTGGCTGCATATGGGGCGGGGATGTATGAGCCCCGTGGGGGTGCCCAAAGGCTTGGTGCGCCCCCAACATTAGCCACTCAGCATCGCTCGAACGACTTTCGCCTTTTCTCGCGGATGTCATGGCTGATAGCCGAACGACCTTGCCGCGGGGCTCAGACACCGTCCCCTACGAAGAGTGGAGGACTGATTTGACCTGATTGACGGTTTTTTTTGGGAGAACATGACTAACTGATTCCGTTTTTTCGGTTTGCTTGCCGCAGCTACGTTTCGCGGAAGTTAAACTATCGCGACGGCTAGACGTACCGTCGTGATGGTTCCTCGGTGTGCGTGCTGCCTGCAGGGGTCCTATATAAGACCCCCCTAGAGGGGGAGAGCCGTGCGCTCGTTTGCTTCTTCAGTCTCTGCAAAAGACATTCTTTCGCTCCTCGAATTTCGCTCGCCACTGTTTCCAGGACTCCGCTCTTCGCTAGCTTCCCAACATGAGTTTCTCTTCGCTTGTATTCATTTTCAATTTCGTTTAATACCTTTACTATTGTTGCCTTTCGTTTCTTTACTCTTTTTTGGTTTCGCCTTTTGCGTGTGGTGGGCTTGGATAGATGTCAAGTGAGTCATCGTCTGACGAAAGCTCACCCAACGGAAGCTCATCTGGCGGTTCTAGTTCAGAGTCGCGTACCCGTTCGCAGAGCCAAATGGATCAGATATTGACTGACTCTCCGCAAGGGCGAAATGATAACTTGATGCCAGAGCACCGTGCTGTAGATGAACAGGCCCATTCACTCGATCCGACGATTGAAGAGACTGATGCGGACATTGAGATAGTAGAGGAGAGCGAAGAGGCCGAGACTGCAGGCCCCGCGCCTTCTAGTACGATGGGGCGGCCGGATCTTTCCCCGGCCACTTACCGGATAGGCTGGTCTCGCGTGACGGATGACGATCTTGATGAGTATGTTAAGCGTGGGCTCATAAAGGCTTCGCTTCGCGACTTATGCCGCGCACGGGGCCGAGAGGAGGTGCCCAAGCTGGAGCCCTGTGAAGCCGTTGTTTTTCAAAAAAAAATTGATGCGGGGCTGCGGTTTCCCTGTGAAGATTTCGTCGGTGAGGTTTTCCAACGCTTCAACTTGCAAATTCACTAGCTGACGCCGAACGCTTTCGCTCGGTTGGGTGTGTATGTTATGGCGCTCAAGATGGCTGGGTGCGCTTTGAGCGTCGACACCTTCGCTCGTTACTACGAGACTCACCTGCATAAGAAAGTTTTCAAGGACAAGCGGACGAAGACCGAGATGGTGGCTCACTATGGGTCCTATAACTTCATGCCAAAGAAGACGGGGCGTACCGTAACTATAGTGCCGGCCTATCACAATAAGTGGCCGCGCTGGACAAATTATTGGTTCTACCATCGGGTGTGCTCCGACGATGACGTTGCCGTGGCGATGACAAATGATTTGCCAAAAGCACATGTTTTAGTTTCTGAGATGGTCCCTATGGACGGGTTTCACCTAGTTGAATTCCGAACAGGTGGTAAGGATGATGCTGCGGCCGCCGACGCCCTTGCTTTGATGTCTCGGTGGCAGATCAGCCGGGACTTGGTGGAAGAGTGGATTGCATGCGATAGCCCTCTGTTACGTAACGAGACCTGGTTTTTCGAGTTTGAACGGAGGGACGGATATGTGTACCCTAGTCTGGGTGTCGCGCCGTCGGATGTCTTTTCGACCGACTTTGATTTTGTTAATCATGTTGAGCACAAGGCCGAGCATATTATTGGGTTTTACGGGGACAAGAAGCACAAGGGCAGATGTCAGTGTTTGGCCAAAAAAAGGCACCTGAATCGCGTATTCAAAGCGATGGGCCTTTGTTATGCTGACTAAGATGGCCCCTCAATGAGCCTTCCTATCGAAGAGGCTGCCCCACGCGGTAGTGGTACTTGTGGTCGACGAGGCCGAGAGAGGAAGATAACGGCTGGGCGCGGGGCGAGTACTGCTACCCTAGAATCACGTAAGCGAAAACGCGGTGGACGGGGTTGGGGCATCGCCGAGCCCGTCGATATTCGCATCGAAAGGGAAATTGCTGGCAAGATTAGCAACAGCAAAAAAGTGGTGATCGGGTAGACTCGCCGTTTCGGCCAAGTTTGGTCCGAAATGGTAGTTCTTCCTTTTATGTTTTTGGCTTCTGTTTTTGTAGTTGTGGTTTCGAGTTCTCGTCTCAGCCTCCTGTTATTTTTGTTTCCTGTGTTTATGCTCTGTTGCTTTTGTTGCTGTAGGCCGCCAACAGTTTCGATGGAATGGGCAGCAAGGTGAAGGTTGCCAATGTAAGTGATGCCTTCGGCGTGGCTGGCGCCATGTCTATTGGCGACGTGTTCGGAAAGAAACATAAGAAGAACACCCGAAAGGCCATAGATCCGCCTGCGGATGTAGCGCCAAAAAGACCGAGGCCGACTTCTGTTGCAGCGTCCGCTCCTACTCATCTGGCTTCTGTCTCTATGGCGTCGCCAAATGCTTCTAGTTCACAGCAACAGCAGGGTAAGTCCCGATTTTACGTGGAGTCTATTCGGTTAAGCGACAGTCTGGTTCGCGGACAGCTATTTGGTCATGGGGAGTTGCGCCTGCGCTCTCGGCCAAAGGACTATGGCGAGATGCGAGTGTATTCGGGGTCGAGCTCTTCTGGCAAAATGAGTTCCGCGAAGGAGGAAACATGTCAGATTGCTCATTCTTTAGGGGCTGCTTCAGGCTCTCGGGTGATCGTCAATATGGATCACCGCACAGTTGGCTTGTTGCCTGGCAAGGTTGCGCCTGATTTCGCCGACGCGTGCACCGGCTCGTTCATGGCTCTAGAGGTGGAGAGGGACCTTCTAAGGGTGCCCAATTCGTCTCTTGTAGAAGCGGTGATTTCCATGCTCTTAGCGTAAGTGACCGTGCCTTCTCTTGTATTCTTTCTCGTTGTTTTTCTTTCTGACGACGGTTTTGCGTTTCACTTTTTGACCTGTAGGCAATGCTCCTAGCTCGAGGGCTCCAGCAGTAGGGGCAAGCTTTTCGCCAGGGCCTCGAGAAGGAACTGGCGACTAAGGATGACAAGATCCAAGGCCTCGAACAGGAGCTGGAGGCAGCTAAGAAGCTGGCCGAAGAGAATGAGACTGCTCGTAAGACTGCCGAGGAGCAGATTGCGAAGGTGCACGAGGACTTTGCCGACTACCGTCGGCGGAAAACCGATGAACGAAAAAGGTTGTGGCGGACACCCAGAAGGTGGCAAATGTATATATAAGGAGCTGATCCAGAGCGTGGACGAGGAGACGAAGGCGCCTAGCGACGCGCCTGTTGTCGATTTCATGGATTGTCTGGCTAATGAGCTGGCCACCTTGGGCGACCACATGGCCGTCGAGCGGGAGTACACCTCCATGATTTCGCTCCATGCCTTCGCTCAGCCCTTGGCAAAAAGTGGGTGTGATCATATCGACAAGGTTGACATTAAAGACCCCCAGTCGTACTGGAATGCCCCTGATCA